TGTATGTGATACACACTTACTGTGGGATAAACTGTACTGCTATTTTATGAAAGAAGTAAGACTTGCCACATGAAAAAAAATGCTAAAAAGTAGGAAAATATAACTATAAGCCAATCCAAAAAAAAAAAAAAAAGGAGGAAAGACAATCTCAGTACGAAGCCTTTCTTGGGGACTATCTACCGTGTTTTCTTTCTGCTGGAAACGAGTAATAAATTTCACGAACCTTTCAGAACTGTGCCTACCATACAATATTTTAATTTCTTTGAACATTATATTCATACCTGTGATTATGCTGTGTTATGTTTTATACTTTAAGACACGAGAAATTCCTCTCCCAAAATACCCTGTAATCTTACTGTTCCTTATTCCTTTAACTGGAGTAAGCTGGTATGCCTGAAACGTGTTTTGTGATAAATTTTCCACATCTATATAGCAAGGGTAAACTTCTAGTGAATGGTACTATTAAATCTAATTCCATGTGCTTCTATTTTCAACATATGGATTATTAGATATTAACATTTCAATTATTTATAAATTTACAATAAGAATAATCTACCCTTCTTATGGACACGACTGTCTAGGGGTAAAAGGTTTTGGAGTGACAGAGAAATAAGTTAGTTAGACTTACGCAATTGGAAGACAAGCTTTTGGGGATGAAATGGGAATGGTTTGTGTATCCATTTTTTTCCAACTGCATTGGTTACTCTAAGAGAAGTTCTTCTACCCACATACCCTAATTTTATAATTAATTTTTCAAAAGCTGCACACACACACTTTTCCCTAGCTCTTTCACAGATACTTTGTTTTGCAATCCGTATCCTACATATCCCAAAAGTTAGTGAGATTCTTCTAGAGCACTCTAAATACAGTGTGTGTCAAAGACTGAAAGAACAAAAGCTATTTTTATTTAAATAAACGCATAGCAAGACAAATGAACAATGCAACTTCTTTTGGAGCCTGTCAGGCAAGATCCTGAGTCTGAGGATCTGATTTGTGATGACTTTTCATATGAAAAATACTCACTAACTGCAATGAATATGGAAAGATTTTTATTCCCAATACAGCAATGTGAAAGAAGCCAAATCGTCTGTCATTCATGTTAATTTAATTACGGGACCACATTCAATTATCCAATATAATATGCAAATGAAGTGAGTTGATAGCAGATGCTAATTATATTCATTATAATAATTAAATCAAACAATGAAAGGGAATAAAAATGTAATGAAATAGAAGGATATTTTTAATTAACAGGAATTTTGATTAGAAACTGTAATCCTATAGCCTGATATAGTATGATTGGCTTATTGCAAGATTGGACATTATTTTTATTACGCAGTTTAGCTTTACATGTCTATCCTTGGTATCATGGGACTTGTTTTCGTATGTTAATAGATTAAATGGTGGCCAAACCAGAGAATCAGTTTCCTTGCTCATACTTCATGCAAAGCAGATGCCTAATAAAGCCGCGCTCCGCTATGGCATGATTACAGAAACCCTGTCTCATGAAACGCAGGCTGTCTAACTCTATAGTAAACAAAAGTTCACGTGCCGATACAAAACAGACAGTGCAGTTCAGGCTTGAATAATGATGTTAAAGTATTTAAAATATTAAAGAAACACTCTTTGCTTTTTGAAATTTTCAGTTTCATAACTGATTTATTTCTTCAGTGACAGCAGCTGCCCTGAAAAAGCTTTATGAATGTTAAAACAAAATAGGAAAAAAGGAAACGAATATTACTAATCCATTGTGTGGGCAGAGTCAGCAAGATCATAGTCTTTTTAAAAGAAACAGAGCAAGCACTATCAAAACACTTAGGAATGCGTTCCTTAGGAATCCATTGTCCTCATCATTCCTCGACAGAATCACTTGGGCCTGGACCAAAAGCCAACGGTGGTGAAAATGCTAACTGGGACCCCAGCCACTGTCTCTGCATGTGTGCAGGACCCACCGTGAGGCCCTCCTCGTATTTGGGGCTCCTGGAAACTGCCGTGACATACGAATCTCGAAGCTATATGAGAGAAAAGAACTTTCCTTCTTAATTTGCCACTCAACTAACTATAAAGACTTTTACAGACAGTGTAATAAAACCAGACAAACCTATATTACATTAAATGATTGGCATATGATGCTCTTGGAAGATTTTCTTCTATGAATGTGAAATACTTAGGAAATTGCCCTTTTATTATTTTGACTGCATAGTGGTAATAATTCACCTACTTAAATCACAGTACTACTACAGAAGGTCAATGTTGAGGTTGACAGGCTGTAAAATTTCCTTTTTAGAAACCCTTTTCTCCAAACTGGGAAACTGCAATTTTTTTTAATAATTAATGCCTTTTTTTTCTTTATTCCTGTATGCCGTTTTCGATATTTATCTGTTGATGTGGGTAGACAAAGGAATCACAAAAGGCACACCGAAAACTCCAAACAACTATTTCTTCTTCTTTTTTTTTTTTTTTTTTTTTTTGAAAGAGATTTGGAAGGAATGAAAACATACAAAGGTTTGTAATACGGAATACAAATTTAGAGAGGAAAAGACTTATCTGAACTACAAACATTTCAAAACAAATGTACATTTGACTGCAAGAATAATGTGAATCTGCTTTGAAATACGTTAGTTACTGACTCCTTTAAAGTTTGTTCAAATACTGAATAAAAAGAACTATCAGGCTCTACGGAAATTTGTTTTCATAGCTCAAGTCTGGTGTATCTATTTTTATTATGCAGTTCTTTCCAGGAGTTCAAGCCTACTATTTGAAAGCTTTCACAGTGAGACGAATTTTTTATTTTTAGCGGGACTCTGCAGATGATGAACAACGAAAGGAAAAATTGGAAGCTCATAACATAATAAAAAATTAAACCATAACTGAATGAATAGAAAGCACTTCTCTTTTTGTGAAAGGCATCATGTATTTATTGGAAGTCACAACACTAACAGCACCTGAAAATAATGACCGTAAGCAAGTCCCACTGCCTGCCTAGTAATGAAAGGAAAAATACTTCCTTTTACTAAAAAAAACCTTCCCCGCATTTTGTAAGTACCTGAGTGAGCAATCCTTCAGTTTTTCAAAATGTTTTTTTAAACAACAAAAAAACCCCAAACCAAAATACTACTTCCTCAGTTAAAAGCTTATCAAATAGGAATATCAGAAATTAAATAAAAAGTTAAGCACGTCATGACATCTCTTGACATAGTGCCACCAAAGCAAACCACCGTAAAAGACTGCTTTTAGTGTATGAAAAGTACTAACATATCGTGGTTGTTTAGCCAAAGATCTAAACTTGACTCTCAGAGCTGCAGAAGCTACCTTTTAATCTTGAAAATTAACTTGGTCCGGGGGTAGATTAGTGATGGCACATGACCTCAACCCCAAGTGCACACGCTGACGACTCCAAGACGCTGCAGAATCGCCAGCTGGGAAGCATGCCCACAGACAAACGCGTTTTGCACATACTGAAGTCTCTTGACTGTCTGCTGGCAGCCACCATAGCCAGCTGCTGCCATGGCACGCAGCCTGCTCGCCATGGCCGGACCTTCGCCCCAGGGCACGAGTGCTAAACAGCGACAGACCCTACAGACTACTATAACTGACATCGCTGGTAGGAAATCCCTCTTCTGCGCTATTCCTGGCACGTTTATAGTTGCAAGTCCTCCATGCAATGAATCACATCTGTTTATACTTGTGTGCCAGAAAAGAAATTTTTAAACTGCAGAGAAAAGACAACATTGTTTGCTGGCACTTCTGGATGCCAGCACGACCCGTTGTGTAGCAGTGGGAATCAGAAAATGGCAGCAATATCACATGCATTTTCAAAAAGACCATATTAAAAAGTGTTGCCCACAGTTGGCTCCAGACCCCGAGTGGGATTTGATTGCACAGGGTAGGAAGGCTGCAGGATCCTCCCTCCAGCTGTGGCCAAAGCCACAGAAACATTACTATATAATTAGATTATATAATTATATACTATTTCTGACAATATTGTCAGCTTTAAGATATTATAACGTTCCAATTATAGTCAACAACTGTAAGAACATTATCAGACAGCTTTTCTCTAAACCTTTGCTGACAAATTGTAACATTTTCTTCTGCTCTTCAGCTTAACTGAGAGGACTAAGCTCCTCATCCTGAACCCCCACCCCAAAAGTTGAACAAAAATGGGAACCAAGTGTTACAAGTATAGAAAGAGAACAAAATGAGTAACTTCACAAAATACAGCAACTGAACCATACCGCAGATGTAGGCACCATAACACAGTTTCTGCACATCCAGAGTCAGATTCACATACTCAAAACCAAAGAGCAAGTGCCAAATTCTGCCCTGCCCAATACACCCTGAGAGGCTACGTATAAGCTGAAGAAACTGGGAGACTTTTGAGACTAAAGTACTTGCAATAGTTTTGAAGTTTTGTGTCTGGGTTATTTTATAAGCTATTCTTACTACTATGAGCGGTCAGAGAGTCCACTGGCAAAAGTGGACAACAATCAAGGAAGCTAGAGGGGGATTTCCACTGAGTATTTGTTTTACTGCTAAAAAGATGCAAGGAAAAGAATGGCTTGAACTTAAATGAGCACTCTGGCTACCAGGGAGATGGCTACATTGGCATCTGAGGACATGATTTCATGGCAGACTAGCTCAGTTGGCTTTAAAAGGGCTTAACCTGGGTACCACAGCCATCTGATCAAGCTGACATAAAGTTAACCTGGAATTGTTATATCAGTTGCTAAGTATATCTTGGCAGCGAGTAAGGCTAGTTAAAATCCATGCAATGTCAGCATCATTGCCTGTGTAAAAACACGGAGTTTCCTTATGGCCACAAAACATTAACATTTTTGTGTTAAGATGCAACTTCAGCTTCTATTTTGCGAACACATATATTTGTGCTCATAGGAATCCCAAGCGCTTCAAAAACAATGTTGAGGGGATTAGTTTTCTTGAGGGATCCATGACTAAATGTGCACTTGATAACTTCTGATCCCATTTTCCATTTGCCTTACCTGATTATCTATGTTGTTTACAGTAAAATAGCCCACACAAATAATGACTTCGTGTAGCAATCCTTCACAGGTATGCTGGGAACAGTACCACAGCAGAGAGCTGATAATATGCCGGAATGCAAGGGACAGTCCTTCAGCACCCACAATAGACTGAAAAAAAGGCCAAGAAACAGAAATTACAGTCTAGCAGTATGTTATAGAAATTGTGTGAATTACATACACATCGACTGCACCGGGTTTTTTTTTGGCAAAGTATAGACTATGTTATTTGTTGCGATGACTTTGAAGGAGGACAGAATCAGCTCTCTTCTTTCAGTAACTTATCATTTACAACTGGACTATAAGAATAAATACAAATTTTAAAGGGACACAGGAAAAATTGGATTCTTATTAGCTGACATTCAGTGTAGCATTAGGTTCACCTTTTCATTTGACATACATTACATGTTTCAGGAAAACTTAATGCTAATAATATTTCTTAGTAATAAGCAAAAGAAACCAAACCATCTTCATTTCTGCAAAAAAGCAAAATGCATTTCTCATTAATAACTTGCGCCCTGAATGGAATACAAAGATTAATAACAAATAATGCTCATTAATAACTTGCGCCCTGAATGGAATACAAAGATTAATAACAAATAATGACTTTTCAAACATTAAAAAAAGTTAGAAACATCCAAAAGGAGAGAACACTCAGCTGCAAAGCTTCTTGGGATGCTTTTTAAAAGTAGGCAAATTGCTGTAACGTGGAGATTCAGAATTAGATTTTATCTGTGCAGCCCACAGCCTCTATTTAATAAACATGTCAAACAGACAGAACGACACAAGGTCAAAGGGGAAAACTAAAGCACAAGGAATGAGCATGACAGTCTACTAACTCTAATGAAACAGCAATGCAGGCCTGTGAGAAAATCTCTTTCATTTGAGAGTTTTCTTGATTTTATACCTTGTGGCGTGTGTTAAGTACGTATACATAAACCCCAGTCTGTAGGATAGTTTAGTTTTAGCATACTCCAAATCTACCCAGCACAAGTGTAATCCTGGACAATTAAAACAGACTCAGCTGTGGTTCCATCTTGAACCTCAAGTGTTCTGGTAAGTTAGTATATTTTCAAAATTTAACACACAATACGGCCACCATTTACTGCTTTACATCATGTAAATACCATGCTCTTAGGTCCACCCTTATTTAATTAGTGCTGTCCACGCATGCTGTGACCTAGCACTCGGGGTTTAACCTTCCCTGATAACAACAGGTCAAAGGGCACCTGAGTTTGTGTATAAAAGTTAAACTAATTTTTCAAGGAAACTATGCTTCCTTTTTAGCCAGAATTAATATCAGCTCAGGATCCTGCGTTGTTTCTCACTACCATCTTTCAATTGTTTAGACTGTCAAATTAAATGAAATATATAGCCATGAGCCATCTGTGCTAATACAAACTCTAGAATACCAGACCTCTTCTGTTAATCAAAAAAACCTATTCTATAGTCCTACTATTACATGATAAAACTATTCCTTAGAGATAATAATCAGACAGTACACAAACTACACTTTTCCTTCTGCTGTCTGCTAGCCTGCTACAGTCCACAAGGTCGGAATGGACAGTAAACTGCCTCAGGTGTATGTTGATTTTTTTAACATTACAGAAACAAATCACATTAATACATCGAAAGGGATAGCTGCTGAGACTATCACAAACAACACTGTGCTTACAATTCAGTAAGACAGCTAGGCGGACACTTCCTGAGCGGAGCCCTGCATCGATGAACTGAACGAAATAATTCACACTGGTTGGTTTTCTACCACCCTTCATGCAATAATTACTACCTTGCGCTATTTTATGTAGAACAAACTAATGCAGATCACCGGACTTGGGAATTAAAGCTGACGGTTTGTTACAAATACTCAGATATAATGGTAGTTGGTAGGGGGATAAATACAGACAGTGTAAGTAGAAGCTTACATTTTAAAAATCAATAGTGGTTTCTTGAGGTGTCAGTGGGAGAGCCCTTCAGCCGTTGCACTTTGCGATAGTCGCCCTATAACTGTAACTGTCCCAATTCAAGTTTTACTCTTTGGTAGATACCTGTAATATCTACAGCAACAAATAAATATCCAGTCTCAAACAAGAGCTACTGAACAAGCTGTAGAAGGGAACTACTTTGATATACCTTGATTTACAGAAAGAAATGGGAGTTAATGGTGTGTGTAAGAGTTGTTTTACATGGAACTCCAATAAATATACTGTTTCTGTGCCCTGTAAAAATACCCTGACTGGACTGGATCCTGCAACTGCATCTATACAGATGAATGTTGCTACATGCAGATTGCTTGTTGCTGTTATCAGAGATACTAAATGCACTAAAAATCAAAGTCAAGAAATACGAACTGAAGGACACTTATACCTTATACTAAATTCTTTACTCATGCAAAGCTCTTGCTGAGTTTAATGCATTTCAGATGGAGTGTGTGGTATAACTTACATACAACTTACATACTAAATGAAACAGAAACCTATTCTGATGAATTGCATAAGATTGATGCTGCTAAATGTGTTGTGCAAAGCAATGCTTTTTGACAGGTGTTTTATATTAACAACACAACAGCTTTGCCAATTTATCTGAGACATACACTAGTATTTGTATTTTCTTTGTACGGCAAAATGATTCACTTAGACTAGAAATCTGTTCACAGAAGAAGGAAGAAGAGACTTATCTTCTCAAGACTCAAAATGTGACCTCTGAGGTTTTTTTACAAATAAAAATTATGAAAAGTTAAATTTCCAATTGTTGGTCAATAAAATCTTACTTGGATAAAAAAAATTGGGTATCAAGTGATTTTCAGTTTCAGTTGTACAGTCTTAATGCAAGTGGCCACTGAAAGCACTGAAAAATGTAAACTGTAGTTATAATATAAGCAAGTCCTTTCGCATTAGAAAAATTGTTATTTCATGCTTTGACCAAGATTTTTTTTACATTTTTGGGGCTTATTAAATATAAAAAGTACTATGCTAAAAGTGAGGTTTTTTGAATAGAAGTAGTAATGGATGGGATTCAGCATTTTGCATAGTCCATGTTTTCACTTTTTGCTTAAATTCATTTGCCACAGCAATACAATGGAAATAACAATAATTAGCAATTTTAAGCATGAAAAAACATGCTTAACCTAAACATTTAATCGTGAAAGTTCCTCCAATAACTAAGATCTCAAAGACAAAACTTAGTCCAAGAGTATATGCAATAATTAAAATTTTCACACTAAGCAAAAGTTTTAAAACATCTTTTACCTGAAAGGCAAGCAGATCAAGAACAGCGAAACTATTGAAGAAACGTAAACTCTGAATGGCAACCTGGACTGTGTTCGCTGCATAGCTGTCTTTAGGACTTGCTGTGTTTGGATCTGAAATCGTCCCGTGGAAAAGAACACAGTACAGCATATGCAAGACTCCAACCAGATCCGTAGACTGAAGAGCTGCTGTTAGTCCTGTGGGGTCCTGACGTGTATTGTCAAATATGTTCCAAGATCTGTCAAAGAAACATTAAGCCATCTGAGGAGGAGACCAGCACTCAGTGAGAACACTTGCCCAGGATGCAGTACTTCTAATACGCCAAATGTCAGAAAACCAGTAAACTGCTAAAAAGGAAAAAACCTGATGCCTCATGTGTCAAGAAAACACAACTTTTCCAGAAAATACTTTCAATAATCTGGGCACCGTCTTATGCTCTCTTTAATTGCAGTGCAGCTGTATCTTTAAATATTTTTCTCCAAATACTGGTGTCTTTGCTCCCCAAATGGGTTCACGATACCAGCACGAGACCATGCAGAAATTCAACAGCTCTGAATTCGGAAGCCTGGGGGCACTTTAGGGGCTCCATGCGAGCTCTGTCTCAGGTCAGTAGCCTACACCCATCTTTCTTTCTTGCAACAGCAGCCAGCAGAGGTGGGAGAACTCCCTGGAGCCTCTCACTACCCCAGTGACGGGCTGCAGGCTCTGGAACAAACTGTCTACCTAAGTAGCAAAATAAGTTACCAGAACCAGATGATCTTAATCAAATTGTTCTGCAGGAATTTAAGAATGAAGTGGCTGAGCAGTTAAAACACACTACTACTTATTTCAGTCAGATGTTATTATGGGAGACTATACAGTAGCAAAGCACAAATAAGTATGAAATGCTCGAGACAAACCAGCACAGTTTGTGCAAATGGAAACTAGGTTTCTTTGGTATTTTTGGGTATGCACGTAAAATAATGGAGAAGGTTTTTGGCTATCTAGGATATCAGGACAGACAGGCAAATAACTCAGGAAGTCCTTTCCCTTCTCACATTCAAACTTTCATAATCCCTCCATGATTTGTACTGTTTCTGTTTTTTCACATTATTAATCATCCAGAAGATGATGCAGAACAGTCACTACTACGGAAGACTACGATTGTCACTACTCTGGAGGGTAAACAATGTGTAGAAGGCAGGCAAATACAAAATAAAGCATACAAAATAATTAAATAAGTTTTATATACTCTGCATTCTGATTCAATCCCATCATGTAAACCACTTGAACTTCATTATGGAAATACATTTAGTCTATACTGGCAATCAAAGGAAACACTAATATATTAAGATACAGTGAACAGCAACACTGAAAATACGGTACATCAAAATCTGGTCTTTACCTCATTTACTATGTTTCCACTTAAAAAAAAAAAAAAAAAGAAAAAAGAAAAAAAAGAAATAGGTGTCAACAGCAAAAGAGACTATAAAGATTTTTTTTTTTTTAAATAATTGAAGGAAAATACGACAGGTGATATGAGAAAACGTTATAAAAGAACTAATTAGATGAGGGCATCTTTCCCTTTTATAACAACTAAAAGCAAAAGAAGTGGGAAAGCAGTGGAAACAAGAACCACTTTCTAAAACAATCTACTTTGAAGACCTCAGTTGAAACGACTGGACAGTCAGAGGGCTCAGAATATTCCTGTTGACCAGAATCAGTAAGGAGCTTTTCCTTGACTAGAACGGCTCTAAACGATCTTTTCAGTATCTGCATCAGAAGCACCTTGCACCAATCTGTTACACGCACTGCTCTGCTCCAGTGAAGCTTCCAACACAGATCCTAGGTATGCTGACTAATCCTGCTTTTTGTGACACAGACGCTTGTCTTCAATGGAGCAACTAAACCACGAATTCAGCAACTACTAGGTTCTGGCGATCATCATCTTGTTCTGTAATTTTCACATTTTCTAGTGAAGCAAAAAAGCAGGTAAGAAAGCACCACCTCACCCAACAACAATGTCTATCAGTAAGAATTTCTATTTGTAACAGCGCACTATTGCTTCCTTGGACCAAAGAGAAAGAGAGAGAAACAGGCAGAGCAGGATAACGAACCTGCATTCTCCACGTCCCAAAGAACGCCCTGGTACCACGCTAACCTCAAATACAGCTTAAATACTTAAAGAGAAGAAAGAACAACAGTTATGTGAAATACCATCTTCGCGGTTATAATAGCAAACTTCAAAGCTAGTATCTACGCATTTTCTTGTGGATACAATTCTGTAAGGTAGCGTGAGTGGGCACTACAAACATGAGCAAGGCTGATGACCAGGTCCTTCTGATACCGCAAACTCCTGTTGTGCCCCTGAGCAGGGACCGCTTTGCGTCTGGGTGGGCACAGAGTGTGCACAGCTACTGCGAGGAGGCTGACAGGCTGCAGGTGAAGGAGGGGAGATTTAGGAGGCTTAGGAAGTTTATTTTAGCACTCAGGCTATGAAGTAGAAATCTTCATATTTCACAGCCTTCGAGCGGTTGTCTCACAGCTGTACCTGCCCTGAGCTCAGGTGAATACGATAGGGACAGTATTTGGGCAGTACACAACTTACTGTACTGGCACCCATCTGCTTCCATCACTGTCCGCTCACATATTTATGTTTAGAAAGCACCTGCCCAGATGACTCACTTCTGCTTTTTATCAGTTAGATCACACGTGTAAGGAATGATCTTAGCTGAAATTAGCATTTATGGTTACCATTTCTTTCCAAGTTCTTTCTATTTACAGTCTGTTCAATGTTACGGAAAAAGCTTTTAAGTACAGCATCCTCTGCTGCTACCTCAAGGATTAATGTCCTGGTCCTATTTCAGTGATACCTATGCTGCACAAAAAAACACACGAGACTACATAATTACTTCACAAATCTTTGAAAGAAGCAAAGAGATCTTTAGGTAAGAACAAAAGCAATGTAGCTGTGCCTGTTTTCCAGTACCTGTGTTGTTACACAGGTGGCTCCATTACCACCGGTCACCACCAGATCTCCACCACAACTCTGCCAGTTAGCGGTCAGCCATTCGTAGATAAGTCAGCTGGAGACGAACGTGTCTGAGTTTATTGTACAGGTTCCAAAAATGGGGTGTTTGTTCAATACTGTGATAGCCAACTGAACTCCTAACAATCCTTAAAGAAACTGTGTCATAAAACCAGCTGCGACAGCGCTTCAGAAGGCCACCGGCGTAGCATTCTCTCAAAATACATGTAATGATATTTGAAAGACAAGCTGAAGTAAATTAAAAAGATGATTAAAATTGTGATTTGATGCCACTTACCTGCTGCAAAAGAACCATCACAAACAGTCAGCTTGCGGTTTGTTAACACTCAGAACGATCCTAACACCTACTCCATAAAGAATAAAAAAAGTGGAAAAAACACCAGCGCTCTAAGTGTGTTTTGGGTGGGGCTACGCTGCACAACAGTTTATGGCATTACTTGGCTTTTCCTACGCCTGGAATCCATGCCCAAAATCTTCATTGGAAAGCTCTGTGGTCTTTAAGTGAGTGTGTTTGAATGGAGTCAGCAGAGACACTTCCTGAACCCTCACCTGGCCTTGCCAGCTGTGCAGGATTTATACGGATCCCTGCTGCAGAGCTTCAGGTCCTGTTGGCACGTGAACCTGGCGGCAAGCGAGGAGCGAACCTGGATGGCTGCAAAAGGAGGGTGAGCGAACACAGCTCTGGGACAACCTCTGTGCACTTCCACAACTTTCCTTTGTGTATCTGTGGACTCCGAAGTATTCCTCACTTTAAAATAGTTTCTGATGTCCAATTATTTATTTTGCAGTATGCAGTAGCCAAAACGTGCTAACCATCACTTAACTACACTCAAGTAACTAGAATGTTTATTTCCACAGTGTCACATGAGAGCACAGCTCCTTCTGCCAACTAGTATTTCTTAATTTCAATCTTAGCTTTTTCAACAGTACAAAACAGAAAAAACCACACATGGTCAAACGATAACCCCAAATTAATTACTGTATATGATACCTCACAGAATTTTCAGTGACTATATGCGATCAGAAGATTGACCAATTTTACCAAAGGTTAAAGTTAGCTTGCTCTCAACTCTCACTCCATCATTATTTTTAAACAATTCCATATGAAAAAGCTTACATTGCTGGATGAAATCCTTTTACCATTTTGTGCTGCTCTGGAGCAGTAAATGAATCAAAATATACATAAAAAAGTCTATTGTAAAATAACTCAAAATGCAAGCATTATTTTTTTCACAGAAAAGACCAGGAATTTTAAAGTTATACCACAGAACAAAGCTGTTAAAAAAAAAAACAAACACTTAAAAAAATCTGTCTGCTAGGTCTGGTGGATTGAAGGAACTGTTAGAAACATTTCTTTTTGATGTTGCCTGTATTACAGTTAATGTGTACATGAACAGGGCACTGGCTCCTGTTGGTTTTAACCGTCAGTTACAATCACTTTAAGCCTAAATGTTTACAATAAAAAGGTAAAAGACGTTATTCATACTGGTTGTGGCTTTAAAATAGAAAAAAATGTGTATGAGATGTTGGAAAATAAAGCACGAACCTTTGTGTGTGCTGCTTTGAGTGATTTTGGTCAAGACTGTACAACAGTGGATTTCATACATCTAGCAGATTTTTAATCCACCTCAAAGGTAAGCCCAGTGAAAATTCAGTGATAACTGTCAGGACACAGACTGAAATAAAAACCCATAAAAACCCTAATATCATAAGATGACGATATCATACAAGAAACCTAGGTTTTACGTAAGTAAAGTTAAGAGAGGAGATTCCTATGGATGTACCTCCTTTTAATTCTCTTATTTAAAGAAGCTCACTCTCTGTTTCTGTAACAGCTGCCAAAGTAAAACAGTCAGTTTGGACAAAACCCCTTCAATTAATCACTGAAGGGAAGCAAGACTTACCAGATTTTTTACATTGGCTTACATAGCTGGGAAAACAGGCTTTCAAACTTTACCAAGTCTCTATATTTAACACAGAATATCAGGCAAATAGTTGTATTACGGTCAAACACCTGCAGGATCTTAAAAAGAAAAGTTTAATGAAATGCAGGGGATTTTCATTATGGGTTGCCATTATGATTTTCAGCTTCTGCCATCAAGGAGTCTCAGGAATTGGTACGGGGTTTATGACTTACAAAAAAGGTTTAAGACTTTAAAAATGTGGATATATCCATCGCAGGAAAGAAAGATACTAAACAGTGGTACTTC